TCCCTCTCCCACTCCCCCTGCTTGTGTTCCCTCTCTCACTGTGTCTCTCTCTGTCAAGTAAATAAATAAGATATTTTAAAATAAAAAAAAAAAAACATATCAACTCAAAAAAAACCCATTATCAACTCTTCAGATTGAGTTATCAACAATAAATACTTTAATATGAATTCATGTGTCAGCAAGCTGGGAACAAGGTACTTAGGAAGTGAGAATTTCGGTAATGTTGGGGAGGGAGGCATAGAAAACAAATAATTTGGAACAGAGGGAGGGTAAGTATGAATGAGGAAAAAAGATCAGAGAACTGGGCACATGGGTTGGTGGGAAGAGGAAGACAGGCTGGAGAAAGGGAAATTAGAACTTCAAAGATAATCTTACCCTACTAGAGTCTTGTTCAAAAGTCACTAAAGAAATCATACCCAGCAGATAAGGGATGGGCACATGTATACATGGTTGGCAAGTATTAACTGGCACCATCTTTCTGCAAGATAATCTAGGAATACATATTACACACCTCAAAATTCTTTATACCCTTTGACCTAGCAATTCCACTCCTTGACATTTATCTGAAGTAAATTATTGCGTCAAACAGGAGGCGATTTGACTGGTTAAATAAACGTTGGTATTCTTGTAACAATAAAAAAATAAGGTCATTAAAAATGATATTATAGAAATCTATTAACATGGAAAGATGTTCATGATATACTGAAAAAATCAAGTAACTGAATACATTTGAATAATCAATAAAGATATGTAAATAGGCATAGAATGTCAAGTGTCACCTTATCTGAATAACTTTCTGTAACTACTCTATATCCCTTATCCTTTTTTTTTAGACACTTGTCATTACCTAACCTGTACTTGTTTGTTTATTGTTTATCTTCTCCTATTTCATGAGAGTTAGAACCTTGTCTATACAGTTCCCTACTATATTTCCCCCCCACCCCCATCTAAAACAGTGCCTGTCACTTTCTTGGAGATCAATAAATATTTGCTTAATGAATTAATAAACAGAAGATTAGTTGGAATAATATATACCAAGATATTAATGATAGTTGCCTATAGGTAGATGAATTGTGGAATTGTGTGTATGTGTGTTTATTTTTATGAAATGAATAGAAAGAGAAAGAAAACCTTAAACCAACTATGCATTTTAAAGAGAGGCAAAGAAAGAAGAAATACCAACCAGGTAGGAAAGAGGTTGTAGACACATTCCTTACTACTGAAATTAATACTGAATTGTAACATATCCACGTTGGCCTCAGAGAACATGAAGTCTCATTCAAATCAAGGTGATCGGTCATTATAGGGCTGCTGCACAAATGGGCCCCAAATAATGTATAAGTCAACTAAGGCTAAAACTTTCAAGCTCTTTTCCCATCAAAGGCCCTGAACTCAATGCCCTGGTATAAAAAGAGTGTAGTCCTACCTGACTGAAAAAGAGAACTCTCCCAGGAAGAATGGAAAAATCAGAGCTTGGTTGATAGAGAATACAGAATATCCTCTTTTCTCTCTCTCCAACACTGAGTATCTACTATATAACAGATAAAGTGGATGCCATTGGAAACACAAAGATACATGAGTTCTACTCTTTTATTCTCAGGGAGTTCTTACTTAGTGGAAGAGATGGGCATGAGAACAGACATGATCTTAATCAAGTTTTGTTTTTTTAAGATTTTATTTATTTATTTGAAAGAGAGAGGAAGAGCACAAGCAGGGGGAGCGGCAGAGGGAGAGGGAGAAGTAGACTCCCCGTGGAGCAGGGAGCCCAATGCAGGGGCTCGATCCCAGGACCCTAGGATCACAACCTGAGCTGAAGGCAGATGCTTAACTAACTGAGCCACCCAGGGGCCCCAAGAGAATCTGTCAATCTTGCACTTACATGAGATTTGAATTTAAAACTGAGTTCACTGAGTTAAGTGCAGAGGAGGCAAAGTATGAAGTATCTACTTTGCTGCTGTGGATCATGGCAGGAAAGAAGAAACGGCCAATAATGAAATTATAATGAGCAAGGGGGAAAAGAAGCATGAAATGAGGCTGAAGAGGTAGGCAAGGGAGTACTGCAATCACTGGCTCTATGTGGAGAAAGGATTAAGAGTGTAGTCATACGGGTGCCTGGGTGGCTCAGTCGTTAAGCGTCTGCCTTCGGCTCAGGTCATGATCCCAGGGTCCTGGGATCGAGCCCCGCATCGGGCTCCCTGCTCGGC